AAATTAATCTCTTTAATTTAAAAGAATCTACATAAACATTAGGTTCTGCTCAGTGTGAAGAGGTTTGGAAGAATCCATCCCAAAATGATTCATGAAACCATACTCCTTTAAAGCCACACTTAGGTGAAATCTACCCTGACATTAAAGGAGTTCACTTGCTTTGAAAGAAAAGTCCCCCAAATCTATGTAATGCATGTGTTTTAAGAAGAATTTTTAAAAATCCTTTAAGAAAACTTACCTGTTGCAGTAAAGAATCCAATGAAAACATTTATATTCCTGCCTCCAACTATGGCCATTTCAGTTGGATTTCTGTTCTGCTGGTCCTTTTTGCTTTTCCAAGAAGCCCAAATTCCAGTAGCTAAAGTTAGCATAAAAAACACGCTCAAAGATACTACGCCTAGTATATTTAGAGACATTTTATGTTGCTCAATTTAGATCATAGAGAGAAATAATGGCTTGATGATATATTCTTTGATCGAGTCCAAAATCAGAAAAAAATAGAAAATATTTGGAAAAAATCAGAAAAAAATAGTGCTGTCTTGTAAAAAAACCTGCCAAGTATTAGTTTGCTGTACTTTGCAAGCAAAGATGCAGTACGAAACAGTCATAAACCCAAAAGTCTTGAGACCTGGATGCAAAGACTCTGTCTTTGGAAGACTACTGGCGATTCTTCTGTCTTCCCCTTTCTTCAGAAGATATCCAATTTATTTTTCTGAGGAGCAGAGAATAAGAGGATAGGAATTAGTGTTGATAAGAGCAATGGAGCACTGACGTGAGGGGTAATACCAGCTTGGCTTAAAGTAGGAGAAATGTTATATTTTGTCTGATATGCAATGGTATGAAAATAATCTGTATTTCTCTAGGTTCTAGGCACAAGGCTGACACAGAAGATAGGGCTAAGAATTTGTCTGTTTAAAGTTGACGGCGCTAAACCCACAATAATCATCAAAGTAAACGTAGGAAACAGTAAAAGAAGATTTACCGCTGACCAACTGAAGGAGCTGCATGCTGATATTCAAATCGTGTATTATCATTTCACTGCTGGAAATGGGCAGGAGAGGAAGGTGTTGTTACGGTCTGCAATAAAACTACAGAAAACATACAGAATTTTTTAAGCTATTTTGTGAAGCTCCCTTTAAACATGCATAATTCTGAGGAAAACTCCTATATGCATTAAGGAATTAAGTTGGTAACATTAATATAGAGTTGCCATACCAATATCTTTTTAGTTGCCCTGTGAATCTCTTTCGCCTATCTGGGTATGATTCTTCATAACAAATTCTATGTAAAAACTGCCCTATTTAGGGCACTTGTTTGACTCTCCTGGATACTCACGTTCATCTGTGGAGCAGATAGCGCCTTTCCATGCGGAAATCAGAGATTTCTGTATCACATATGAACTGAGCAGGAGTTTGAAAGCTCAGATATTTAGGAAAGCTTTCTGCAGTGTGCCATCTCCTGCAGACATCCAGGAGTAGCTGTGCATGGAAATGGCAGTGGCACAGGTTAAGCATGTTCCATGGGCAGGGCATGGTAGGAACACATGGGCACGCAGGTGGTGGCTGCAGCAAGAAGGAGGGAAAAGTGCAGGAACCCCACGTTTTCTGTGACACCTCTCAGTACAAGAGAAAATAAGGTTTTTTTGGTAAGTGATCTGCAGTGATCTGGTGGGAAGCCTCTCAAAGAATTGTTTAAAAACAGTGAAAATTTAAAATGTTGAAAGAGCCCAAGCACTAGATGATTATCCTACCTTAGGAGAATTATTTATTTATATTTATACTCAAATACAATTTGACTGAGTGAGGAGGCTTAACTTTGACCAAATAATTTACGTACAATAAGGGACACCGCATTTTGAATGCACATTTTCTGGGTGGTAATTAGAAATTAATTGCACCTGCTACAAAGTTGTAGAAATTGCAGCTGACAGTGGTAATGGAGAACTGGCTTCTCTGGGCTGTCTTTCTTGCTCAAAACAGGATATTTCAAAAACTTTAAAACCCTATTTACACACAGATACACACACTAAGCTTTTTTTCTATGGACAAATGTTTTGCAGCATATTTCCTCGGCAGGAACAAAAATGGGTTGAAGGTGTAGGCAGAGTCAGCCCACTCTGCAGCCAGGCACTCCTGGGAGGAAATATCTGGCCTTGCATCCTCCATGTGGGGGTCAACTAAATTAAACATGTCCAAAGCAAGATTTGAATTTGTTCTTTTATATCTGTAGAGAATGTCTGGACTGACTGATTTTTAC